CTGGGGACACGTAGGGTGTTCATCAGCAGCCAGGATGCTCGTGGGTGGGAGAAATGCCGAGGGACCACCTCCACCCCCGGGGTGGCCCCATCACCGCGCGTGTCCCTGCAGTCTCGGTGATGCACATCGAGGGGGTGCGCGAGGGACACCAGTCGGAGGGTCTACGCAAGTACGGTGCCGCCTTCCCCGAGCGGCACTGCTTCACCCTCGTCTTCAAGGGCAAGCGCAAGAACCTTGACCTGGCCGCCCGGGGCGAGGAGGATGCCCGCCACTGGGTGCAAGGACTCACCAAACTGATGGGGAGGCTGCAAGCCATGAGTCAACCGGAGAAGCTCGACCAATATCCTTTGTCAGAGCTATGGGGGCTTGGGGACAGGTTGGGGACAGCCATGGGGGTGACGCCGGGTGGTTTCCTTACCCCAGCGTAGCTGGATCCATGGGGTCCTGCAGCGAGCAGACAGGAACAAGGACAACAAGATGTCCTTCCGGGAGGTGAAGAGCATGCTGAGGATGATCAACATCGATATGGATGATGTCTACGCCTACAAGCTCTTCAAGGTACCCGTCATGTGCTCCATCACCCACTGTCCCCCACTGCTGTCACCAGGAGGGAATGCCGGCTCCTTCTCTGTCTTCCCAAGCACAGAGAAATGTCAAACTCGTCACACCCAAAGCCACCCACCATCACCAATGGTTGGGTCCACCACCAATGGTTGGGTCCCATCATGAGAAGGAGCTGAAGATAGGGTGGGGCGAGCTGTCTCACCCCTTCTGCTCTGTGGGTCCCCAAGGTGTGACATTTTCCCCCCATGGGGTGCTGTCCCCATGGGCATCTCCCAAAGTCCCTTTCCACCTGGGGAAACTGAGGCACGGCGCTCTGCTTTGCTCCACCCCAGACTGGAGGGTCAGAGGGGACATGCCCCTGCACCTCCCTAGGGACAACCCATCCCCGAGCCCTCATGCCACTAGCTGAGCCCCCCCAAACTCATCACACACGCTGCCAACCCCAAGGGACAGGGAGGACGAGGCAGGACGAGGCAGGGGGTGGCC